TCCCCCGACCTCCTTCACAGTGTCTTGCGACCCCCCAGGGGTTTTGACCTCCACTTTGGGAACCACTGTTTTAAAGGATGGAGCAGAATTCACAAATGGATAAATTGTTCAATGACAGCATGATGAGCAAGATTTCCGTTACTGGAGTTTGTGAAGCATAAAGTTTGCATTTTGTACAGAGCAAGAAGAGAATCAGTTCAAAAGTGCCCTATATACTGAACAAATCATTTTATTCATGGACCAAGTTCGAACATTTCATTGAATTGAACTGAGTTATTATGATGCATTTTAGGATAGCCAACCAACCAACAAACAGACAGACAGGATTAGACACAGAAGCATGTAGGCAGCTATCTGGAGCAGGTGTGCCGTATCAGCTGTTATTATTATTGAAGGCCTTGTACAACCTGGATAATAATCACATCATTTACCAGAGGCATGTCAGAGAAATAGGATTTACTGCCATGTTCTATACACTAATCTAGTCTGCATTTCAAAAAAACAAATAAGCACATAATGCCCTGTCATTCATGACAAATGACTCGCAGTCCAACAGCTGAAAATAAAGCCGCTTTTTGATATCACCAAGCTGTATTTTACCTTATTTACTACCTCAAATGCTAAAATTAAAAAAAAACAAGGTATCACAAGGAGTTTTTGCTAAACCCAACCATACTAGAAAACATCTCAGTGATACCAAAATGTAAAACCTTGACTGCACCTCAGCATTATCAATGGCAAACAGCAACATTGTGTTGACTGATTAAAAGACTAAACTGAGACTGTCCCTGATGAATATCTTGTCATATTCTTATTCTCTGAAAACAAAACTGTTTATGTGACATTGTTATATTGTTAAAACACCTCTTCTGTTGTCATACTATCCGTGTCTTTACACCGCTGTGTGTTAAACAAGTGGCGAGTCATCTCTTTAACAGCTGATGCACAACACTGACACTAAGGGAACAGTAAAAGGTTTGTAAAAGTTACTGCCAAGGAGGCTCAACATTACTGCTTTAGGGCAGAAAGGCCAGAAAAACAAAGGCCCAGACAAAAAAATGACTCCAATATCTTTACCCAGTAAAGAAAATATAGAAGTTTAGTGATTCGCAAAGTATTTCACCTGACCATCTCTTTGCAAAATTTCTGTTGTCAATGTCACACGATGATTGGAAGCAACTAAATGATCAGCTTTGATACACACTTATTGGTCAAAGCACAAAGTCGGCAACATTAGTTCAACGAGCACACAAGCATTGGGAAAAAAAAGCTGCTCCTGCTGCTGACTCAGCATGTTCACCTCTTCTCTTATTTCCATAGCAACACATTCATCCTCATCTACAACCCTTAAAACCTGATGGAGAGTGTTCTCTTTGACCCGTGTGACTCCTTCAATAACTGTGTGTGGGTGTGTGTGTAGTGTAGAGTGCTGGTGGTACTGCATTAGTGTGTCACTCAAATATAGATTTAACTGCCTTTGCGAGGCCCCTTACTCTTTGTGTGCAAGGGGGGGGGGGCACACGCACATGCACATTCACACCCCACTGTTAAAGGAGATTAATTCACACTTTCATCACCAAGCCCTTTGTCCCAAGGGAGCCTGGAGGAGACTAGGGTAAAGTGACTGCAGGGGACTGCAGAGGGTAATGGGTTATAGGTGTGTGTGTGTGTGTGTGTGTGTGTGTGTGTGTGTGTGTGTGTGTGTGTTCACTGGCCATAAAGGCTACATCCACAGTGAAGTGCATTCCCATTGGGGTCCTAAAACAAACACAGACTGGCCACTGCTAAGAGGTGAGTGTGTACACTTTATATGTTTTTGTGTCTTTGTGTGAGACTGTGCATGTGTGATCACATCAAGGGGTCTGGGGCTGAGCAAATATCACATGTTTTTTTTGTTTTTTTTTTAATAACTTTTTTATTGACATTTTACTTTAAGGCTGGGTACGTCGTCTGTTTTTCCCTCAGTCTGTCTGTCGTTTTTTTTTTTAATCTTTATCCCACACACTTTTTCTCCCTCCATCCAACTTTCTTGAGTCTTTTCTAGTCAGGGCAGAACGCTGTTCACCAATGAGTGTGGTAAAATTGAAACGTATGCATGTTTGAAGGTGCTTGATCATGGTGGATTATGGTACGGTCATTTTAAACAAAATTATAAAAAGTTAGGCGACACTCTAGATCTGCTCTTTTGTCGTGATTTATAAAAAGATATATACAAGAAAATACTGACTGATTGATTTCAGTCTTTTATCACTGTTTATCTGACTCCAGCTTGTACCATTGTTGGTTGCTGAAGTGACTGCTAAGTAGATAACTTTAGATTTCAAACTGTTGGAGGCAGTGAGATGTCTCATCTGCTCTAAGAAAAGCAATTCTCAAAGCTTAAAATATATTGATTGTTCAATCCGTATTTGAATGTTGCTGTCCTGGATTTTCAATAAATACATTTATAAAGTCTTTATTGTGGCATGTATCCTTTGTGTGTTAGCTTTTTTTTCCCCCCATGTACCAGACATGAGCATCGGCCTGTAGGGACCGCTAAAGTTTATTGAGTGAACTGAAATGGAGTGTTAAGTGTTAGTGGAAATGTCACTGAGGGTTTGGATTCCTGTTCATCGCCGTGAATGAGTGACTGCTCACCGCTGCTACACTTCATCACGCCAACGCGCTCTGCTGCTTCAATCAATGGCCAGCTCTGCCTGATAAAGTCTTGTTGTTCAGAGCAGAGGGAGGTACGCGTGAAAGCTGATGGTGATGCCTTTTGCGAGCCTGAATATTCATTGCTTCCATCAAACTGGAGACGACACTACGCTCAGAGAAACATGTAACTGCTGATAGGACCACCCTCGTACACTCCATCTCTGCATGAGAAAACCCGTTGCATTTATGAGTATGTGCACAATACACGTATATTCACCTCTACAAGTTTCAACATGAAGTGTTGAGTCTGGAAACGGTGTCTTTCTTCAAACACAAGTAAGAAAAGCTGACAGCGAGGGGAAGGTCATCACTATTGTTTCTAGCACAAAGGGTTTTTGAAATTGTCACGAATCCGGTGTTTCTGTAGGATCTAACCTGACATAGTGCCAACTTGCTTTTCTCAAAAATGTCTCAGCTGAACCAGGTTTGGCAGTCCAAATACAATGCTTTAGCTGTTTTTTCTTTTCTTTTTTTGCTGCTCACCTCCAGACCAAACTCCCACATCAGCCTTCATGAGTCTCATGTTTATCTGTAAGATGCACATTTATTAGAGTTTTCCATAAGTGCTGGATGCCGACCGGACAGTCAACAATTTTTCAGTCATTTACTGACTTGCTGTTTAAAGTCTCTTTGACATCATAAACCTATTTTAAATTCAAGATCAGTTTGTTTTGGAGAGGAAGAGATGTAGAAAAGAAAGAAAAGCCAAACCTAAAAACCAGCAAAGTGAGCACCTAGAAAGAGTGTGCAACAGCTTCTCCTGATTTTAAGCATTAACACAGATTTTTTATGTAACTCTGCTTCATTCAGTGCATGTGCTTAATGATTTAAATAACAGGCTCTGTTTTAAGTAAAGACATAGTGCAGGAATGCAACCAAGAAAATGCTTGTCAACTCTGGATTTGATTGACCGATGATTTAAACCTAATTATTTGGTGACAGATATGAATTTCACTGTCTGAATGTTTGTGTATGAACTATTTCTGACTGCTATCAAAAGAAAAAAATTAAATATCTGACAGACCTTTACGGATCTATGTCACTTGCATTTTGATGCACCTGTCTCCCACCTGCGCTTAGTTTGTAATAACATTAAATAGTAAAAGAAAAAAAAAAAAACATGAATTCATACAAAGAAGAAAAGAGGTATTAGGATTTCATTGAAAAAACATACAACATTTTGATTGCAGCCCTAGATTTTGCACTTCTAGGACATGTCAGTGCAGCTAAAAAGAATGTATTTGTCAATGCAACTGTTGAGGTTTGTGTGCAAAACTTGGGCAGCATTGATTTGCAGCAGCGTGCAAAGAAATGTAACAACATCTTCTGTTATTTCCATATTACCGCCACATTCTTTAACACCTCTATATTGCAGCCATAACACAATGCATTGATGCACTGCACAGAGTGTAAACAAGACTCTCCTCTTCCATTGAGCCCAAGAACCTCCCAATGCTGCTGCCTGCATGTGCAAGTGGGCTTCACCTGAACTATGGCAACAATTGTATCATAGACAGGTGACCCCCCCCCCCCCCCCCCCACCCCCCGCCGCTAAATTGGTCTCTGCAGTCTGTCTCTCTACCTGTCTTGCACACTCTGTTCTGTTTAATTATACCTCAGTGGCTCCACAGGAAAGACAGCCTCATTATACAACATCAGGGAATAACACTGACAACAACCGCAGATACTTCGGCAAAACAATCAACAGACAACAATGCATATCACTCAATAGACGTGTCATCACCAGCAACAATATGACAAACCACTGAATGCACATCAGCTGTCACAGAGAAGCAATGTTTTCCTCCATTATTCACTAACTTAGACTCTGCTACCAAGTTTTTTTTTTTTACCTTATCCATGTCATCAAGCAATCTGCTGCATTCAGTGAAACTGTGAGTATTCAGCATGCCACATACGCATTTGCATAATAACCACACAACAATCGGATATGTGCATGCTGAACACACTGTTCCATATTCCCAGCAAACCTCAGAGGTAAACAGCGGGGAATTGTCTTCAATATATTCTTCCACCAAATGCATCTGCTGTAGGCTACTTAGAAGGAGAGTGGGCTACAGTGGGAACAAATCTTAAAAGTTTTTGTTTGCGTTCTGTGTAAAAGCCGAATTGGAAAGGGGTTGCAGCCAATAGCCTACTAACATGATCAAACTTGGAAAGTGTGATGCTGTGAATAAAACATGTTTCACGGAACATTTCAAGCTTCATTCAACATAGTTTGGAATGACCTCTCCACAGGGAGAGACACTGACTTATTATGGATGACGGGGAAAGTAACCAACCTTAACAGGGGAGCTCCTTACGGCCACTGGCAACTCTCGGATCGCACTGCCCGGGGGGGGAGCGGATATCCCGACTGCGTACCCCTGCAGCGAGACCCCAGCCAGGGACTGCCTGCCGCCTGCTCCTCCTCCGTTCCCTCGCTGCGGCCGCTGCTTGATACCGTCCAGGAGGCGAACCAGCAGGATGTTAGCCGGCAGGTCGTCCACCCCGCAGTCCACGAGAATGCGGCACTCCGGGCAGCGGAGCTCGTTCCGGGAGCTGAGGATGTTTTCCAAGCAGCGGCGGCAGAAGGTGTGCTGGCACGGGAGGACCTTGGCCGTGGTGTCCAGGCGCTCCAGGCACACCGAGCACTCCAGCAGATCCAGCAGCGACGAAGACTCGTCCATGTCGGCGGAGAGGGTGAGCATCTGGGCTTTCAGTGTCCGTGGAGACGCCGCGTAGACTGGTTCGTGTACCGAAGAAATGAACCGGGAGCGCAGAACATTCTGAGGTCCCCGGCGGGAAGCAGCCTTAAGGACGCGACCACGACAGACGCGCCAGGCAGTTTCCCCCCCCCTTGTTGTGAATGTTCTCCGCTGTTCCTGTCCCCCCTCTCTCTCTCTCTCTCTCTCTCTCTCTGTGTCTGTCTCTCTCTGTCTCCCTCAACGTGCTTCTGTTTCTCGCTCTTCCTCTCTGTGTCTCCCCCTCCTCTCTCCAGCAGCTGTGCAGAAAGCGTTGACGTCACGCTCTCATCATCATCATCATCATCATTCGAGGCGCAGATTGATACAGACTGAGAGACGGAGAGGCTGCATTCATTACACACAGGCAGCATCTTCAGCTTCTCAGTTATTCACTAGATCTTATAGCCTAATCATGAGGCGTAGAGTAGGTACTATCTTAATAGCAACCAGTTAAAAGAGACAGAACATTCATGTCTGATGTCTGAGCTTCAGTAGGCTATAGGCAATCATTTCAGAAAGCCTCCAAACAGACTTCAGGTTGTTGTTGTTTTTTTTTTTTTTTTTCTCAGTGTCAATTAACAGTTCAAAGACCATCATCCTTAAACTGACTTGTCATCAATTACTTCGGAGTCCCCACCTTGTGAAACCCAGCCCGGCAGCCTTGAGTTCCTCTTCATTACTTCAGTAACCAGATCCAGTCAAAACAAACGGGGCTTTTGGGAAAAGTTGGTTTCTGGCGACACCTGGTGGCAATTAGATGATCTTTTGTTTTCCCCTAATTTAGTTGTAATTTCCCTTTGGGTAATACACATGATCAATGATTCCCCTCCTCCCCCTGAAGTTCCCGTTTGATTGAACTGCAGACTGATAGTCACATTAGTTATTACCAATACAAATGATTGACTTTTAATGCAATCTGGGACATGCAAAAATTACAATAGGCATCATTATTATTGTGCCTATGGGAAAATCATTGTAAAACATAGCCGACAAGTATAGAGTAAATGAATTACTGTGAATGTGAAAAAGGTATTAATGCATAATTAGGCTACTCTGAATTTTCTGTGAGGGTGTCAGGACCACACATGGGGTTTTATCTCATACATTAGCCGTATTAGACAATGTATTTATGGATAACATGCAGGGGTTATATTAATTACACAGTGGAATTGCTAAATATTCTGAGATAAAGATAAAATGAGCATTTCAACTGAAGTGCTGCTGCATGTGTGTGTTTTTGTGTGTGCGTCGTTTCTCAGCCGTGACTGCAGGCTTGCTTTGCCTGTCCACCTGTTCAGACTTGCTACGCTCTCTCACATTCAGCCCTAGAGGGGTGTAAGGAGTGATTGAGCCAAATGTGTGTGTAAGTTTGTCCCTGCTTGTGCGAGTGTGTATGTGTGACACAGTGACGCCTTCCCTGGGGAGGGTGGGCTGACTATTTACCACCCACGAAGAAAAGGAGAGGGTGGACTGTTTTTGGCATACAACGAGAAAGAGGGAGTTTGTGTGTGTGTGTGTGCGCGTGTGTGCGTGTGTGCGTGTGTGCGTGTGTGTGTGTGTGCGCGTGTGTGTCTGTGTGTGTGCGTGTGTGTGTGTGTGCCTGCATGTGTGTGTATTTGTGTATGAGCATATTAGCATTTACACTGATTCGTTGGATACTAAAAATTGTAAACTGTAATTTATTTAACGATGTAATGAAAGTTATTGGATTGAAAAGGTTTATTTTGTATTGCATACAATATTATACTGTAACCACACACACACACACACACACACACACACACACACACACACACACACACATACACACGGGTAGAGAGTAAGTGATGGCTCAATGACTAAAGTTTCAAATGCATCTCTCTTAATGAAATCTGAACACTAGAACTGTCAGGGGTCGCTGTATACCTAAAACCACCAGTGAGTAAAAGTGACCTAAAATTGAGTCTTTATACCATTCAGAAAAAAGACAAAAAGTAAGACTACAACAATAATCTTCATTTATCATTCCACATGTGTTTTACGACTGAGAACAAACAAAGCACGCAAACAGCTGATAAAAAGCGCAGATCGAGAACAACTAATTACCCCCAGATACTTAACAGCTGATTACCCACAGGGATCAGACCCCAGAGAAGAACAGATAGCCCACCAAATTAAACCACACAGGGATCCTAAGATCGGTGATTACAAATGGAAAACAATTAGTTTACCATTAGTTAATCACTAGTTCTAACAACTAGTCCAAAAAAGAAGGACTGAATGAGGAACTAACTATTAGTTTACCATAGTTCATCATCAATGTACAGCTGCAGTCCTTAAGTATTCATATAAAATATCAGGTCATATCATTGTAGTGTACAATTGTATGACTGCCCAGAACAGAGAATTAACAATTTAGAAGGAGCTTAAATTAATGTGTGGAGTGTGTTATATGTGAAGTGTCTTATCTCAAATGCCAATATATTTTGGAGCAATGGGGTAACTAGTTTTAGATTGTAATGAAAGAGCAATTAAGGCACTTATAATGTATTTGCTGTCATTGTCAAGCCTTGATTATGAATGCCTCAAATGCTGGCAACAAGCCCGAACTCATTGTGCTTCTCTCACCCTCTATCATACCCACTTGTGTCTACTGCCCAGTGTGTTTCATCTGCTTAATACAATGCTCCACAGCCTGTGATTCAGAATTAGAGGAGAACTACAGGGAGAAGCGAACAAAATGATTATTGGACGAAAATCCCCCTCGATCCATTAAACAGCAGAGCAGCTCTCCCTGTAGGACACTGTGCTGTCAATACCAGACAAAAGGTGGATGCTGTTTAAATAGCAGACGTGCCAATTAGGGATGGTAACTGGCATTTTGGTGATCTAAGGGTTAAACTGCTCAGTCGGGTGTTTGTTAGATTGAGATGTGTCCAATAATGACACATTTAATTAATGCACATGCTGCAATTATGCATATTAGCTCTACATGTCATTTACAAACTGAATTGTGACACAAATAACACTTTTTATAATTTAGTTTCATAAGGATGTGTTCCTATATTGAAATATTCAATTAGGCCTTGTTGTCAATTTGGCAAAAAAAAATAATATTTAAATTGCAAATTATAGCATACAGAGCAGTTTCTGTGGAGCAGTTTATGCAATTTTTGCCATCAAAATTTTTATCTAACTTGTTTTCTTTTTCTCTTCTTGTCTTCATAGGGTAGAGGGGTCAGTGAGTCGTGCCCAGTTTGCTTAAGCTTTTGCCAGGGCAATTTGCCGGGCCTGGTTTTTGTCTTCATGCTTTGTATTTTTTTGCTTCATATTGTCCTGAAATACATTGTATTTATTAATTTCTTGCATTAAAATAAAAGATGTCTGTGACTGCAGTGTGTTTATTTTGTAAGTGTATTCTCTCAAATCCTCATAATGGTGACATGAGTTAACTTGACTTTCCACTGCATTCATATTTTATTTTTCTACAGCGCTAACCAGAGTTTCATAAGTTCCTGTATTATCCTCGTCTCTAACAATGATATTAATAATGATTCTCATACTGTCCTTTATCTCTGCAAACATTGGAGTTCTCTTCAAGACCGCTTTGCAGAAGATTCAATCTTGTTTGCCTGAGACCATCAAATACTAAAATATGTAGTGTGAGAGTGTGTGTGTGCATGTGTGCGTGCGCGCCTCTGTGTGTGTGTGTGCATGTGTGCGTGTGCGCCTCTGTGTGTGTGTGCGTGCGTGCGTGCCTGTGTGTGTGCGTGTGTTTATATTCTCCATCTACCTATACCATATACCTCACCAATACCATCGACCAATGTCCTTCGTTCATGCAAAAGTAGGTTAGCTGACACGGCAGTTACCATGGCAACCAGCTCTTTGCTTCCTCGTTGAAGAGTAGTTAGAGAGCGTGTTCTCACAGACAATGTGCATAGAGTCAACCATCAGGGCTACTAACAAGGTCATCAGGCCTGTGGTAGGTTCACTTGTTCAGCAAGCGTGTGTTCTTTTACCCGACAATACCAAGTTCCTAAGCATCATATTTCTCAGGGTTGAACATTGTGACATGGAAGTTAATGTAGGTTATCTACATGTATTGGTATGCATATAAACTTTAGTTTTCTATATTCAATCATTTTGTTTATTCAGTTGGAAGAACTTAATAAGAACTGGTTCTGATGATGATCAGACACAAATCTAGACACAATAAATAATGTATAAATGTGTGTTTAAAATCATCATGATCATGTACTCAGACGGGGAGAGTCAATACCCTGTGGTTCTATAAACACCATACTTATTTATATTAACCAAATGCACTTCCACTTTTCCATGGAAGTCAACATTAAATATTAAGAGAAACATTTCACATATCTCATTTATTTTTTTCTACATGGTGTCAGTTTCATCCTTGAAAAAGAGGAAAGCAGCTGACCATATTTTCAACTTCGCTGCTCAGAGTTCAAGCCTCCTTGGAGCTCATAAAAAGCACAAGGAAGTTTGCTTTTGATGATTTCACTGCAAATTAAAGCCCCGACGTCATTATACCGAGCAGTAAATGAGGCCTCCACTGACTGCTATCTTCTCTGAGCTACAGGACTTTGATGTGGTGCTGAGAGGAGATAAAACAGGGTAGCTGGTCTGTGACAGCTGCTGTACTTTCTGAAACTTTACAGCTCCGATCACTAACATTAATGCATGTTGACCAATAGGCTTTATAGAGACTTGAATATATACCGGTATTTATCCAGTGATTTAATGTATTCATGGACCGAGTGATCTGAACTTGAACTCTCTTTTAGGTTTATTAATTTGTCTCAGTAAGAGTAAGATTTAGACTGGTTGCTTTTCAGACTCAAATAGCCCCTTGCTTTGTCGCTAAACCTTTAACTGTTCATTAGAAAATGAAAAGCCTACGATCCTTATAAAAGCCTTGTATTTGTTCCACAGTCCATTAACTACAGGTGTCTATGAATTTTCTCTAATGGAAAAATAAGTTTCATCTTATAAATCATTTTGGAAAGCAGAATTTTATATCTTCTTATGTCCTTTACTTTGACCTTTTGTATGCTATAAAAACACTTACAGTCGGACTGAGAGTCGGTCGTCTCTGCAGAAGTTCTGGGGGTTGGATCTCCAGCTCCTGCAGCCAAATGTCCGATGTGTCCTCGGGCAAGACACTTAACCCCAAGTGGCTCCCGCTGCCTGGTCAGCAGCGTATGAACGAGCACAAATGGGATTAGCTCATACTGATCAGTGTGTGAATGGGTGTGTATTGGTAAATGTGACCAGCTGTGTAAAAGCACTATGAGCAGTCAGAAGACCAGCAAAAGTCCATTTACCATTTACTTTAAAAATCTCTAACTGTTATGAGGTTTTCGGATTACTTGCTACACTTAGGCTACATGTTACCCATAATTTATTGTGTTATATTCTATTAAATTTTTGTTTTTAAAAGATGAATTTTTGGGGCTTTTTGTGCCTTTATTGGCGAGACAAGTCAATGATAGAGTTAAAGCCAGGGGGAGAGAGAGTGAGGAATGAAATGTGTGAAAGAAGCCAAATTTTATGCCATTTATTATGTTGGGGCTATAGTGTTGATTTATGAAAATAACTTTGTAAAATACAACACGAAAGCTTGTATTTAATGCTATAAGTGTTGAAGAAAGAACGTGTTGGTGTTCACACCTCATAAACAACTTGTTAATTATCTTAAGTATTCTTTATATGTGATATATTGTATTGTTTCCTTGCTGTTTCCTTCAGTTTAATACTGCAAGAACCCCAGTGTGCAGTAAGGGATGAGTAATCCTTTATCATTTCATGTTATATTGCCTTATCAATAATCCCTAATCTCATCATATCTGATCCTGTTTCATCTTTTCTCTGTCACATTACGCCTCATGTATCTCTGCTTGCTACATTGTATTGTCTCATTTATTATAAATGTCACAATGTCTTCTTATACTCCATTTCCCCTTATGCAGTCGCTTGTGTTTTTTGTATTCCACCATCCATCACAGTAAACACAGGTTTTGCTTAATTTGTGTTTTTGTCCGGTGTGCAACCGAGCAGCCATCATTCTCTCAGCAAAACTCATCAGCCTTCTTGTTATCCTCTCCCCATCCTCTCTTTATCCTCTCTTCTCTTCTCATCTAATCTCTTCTCCTCTCATCCTCCTTTTCAGTCAGGAAGCCCCTGGATCGACATCAATGAGCCAAAAGAAGCAGAAAGCAGACAGGATGACAGAGAAAATGAAGAAAAGACGAGAGGAGGACGGAGAAAGAAAGGAGAACGAGACAGACTGAGAGAGGAGCAGAGAAAGTGAAAAGAAAAAGAGAGAGAGAGGAAGAAGGAAACAAAGATAAACATATAAGAAAGAAAAAGAGAGACGGAGGTAAAGACAAAGACAGAGCGATAGAGAGGGAGAGTTAGTAATTACAGGACTCCCAGTGTTTTCAAAGCCCCTCTTTTATCTCACCCTTCCTGTGGCTGAGAAAAAGGAGAGGCAGCGGAAAGAGGGAGGAGGAGGAGGAGGAGGAGGAGAAGAGGAAGACTAAAGTCCAAGCTTTAGTCAGACTCAGACAACAGTCACCAGTCATCAACATCACACACACAAACAGAGACGCACTCTCACTAATTTATAGCTGCTGCTTCAAAGACATTTTATCATCTGAAGTAAGAAGCGAGTGTTTTTTCTGTCTGTCGGTGGGCTTCACGTCAAACACTTTAGGGGATTTAAATAGTTGTAGTATTATCAGTATATACAACTTTTCTCTGTCCAACTGTCCAAACAATAGCATTTTTTTTAAACCTTAATGTACTGCATATCATATCTTCTTTTTTAGTTTTGCTGTTTTGACAATCATTATTAGACATAAAAGTAGAGGTAGTCTTAGTGGCAACAACAATAATAGCAATAGTTGAAACAGTAGATGAAGTAACAATAATAACAGGTGGAATAACACAAGTATATTGTCATAAAAGTATGTTTTACCAACATTGTACTCACTATATCAGATATGCCTTATAGAGGTATCAAACGTATATTATGTTCTAAAATGAACAGGAGTCTGTGTCTCAAATTTCAAGTTTATATTCTTAATTGTGGATATATTAATACATTTTTTTAACTGTTGGAAAAAAGAGCAAACAACCATTAAGACATTAATTTCGACTTGTAATGAGCATTTTCCCACGGTTTTCCTTATAATCATAAAAATAACGTGCAGATTATTTTATAATGAAAAATATTAGTATTTGCAGCCCTAATTTCTAAAGTTGTTTCATTTAAATACACACCGACTGTGTGCACTGTGCATTTACATAGAAAGCATGTTGCAAGCAAAAGGCTTACAGAATATAAATAGATAAAATACTGATGTTGATATTCGTCAATTAAATGTCATTTAGGTGCTGTTTTTTAGTGTCTCATACTGTATTGTTTGGAAATATAAATTACTTTATTGAATTTAATAAATGTAGCCTGTTCGTACTTTTTCAAAGTTGTAAAAATATTTGTGTTAATAGATGGTGAATCTGGTGTATTTCTTTGGTACTGCCACTAGGTGGTGCAGTTGAGTCGTAGCCTGCAGCGTGTTAATTGTCACAGCAGACTACAGTCTACCTGTGACACGTTAATCCATTTCTCATTCAGGGCGGAGAAAACTTCTCACTTTTTTTCTTCCCAAGGAGGAGCCTGCAGATACACCGACATGCACCAAAGTGGAGACTGAGACACAACTTTACACTCCGTGGAGTAAAAACTCACAGACAAGCCAGTCCCTCAGCGATGCTTCTCCGACACCACGCGAGAGATTGATCACCGATCATCAGGACTGATCGTCCGCCGGCAGTCAGCCCTGTAGTGTGCAGCGGAGAAAGCATAACCAGTGTGCCCCCCTCCTCCTCCTCCTCCTCCTCGTTGAGCTCCAGGTAAGACGTGTGAGCGGCTCACGCTCTCAGGAATGTAAGGACGGATTGCTGCAAGACTCCGGGGAAATTCCTGAGAAACACTTATAATGCCAAACAAACATGTGCTTTACGGTCATTTTACTTTAAAGGAAAATAGATGAATTGTCATGGGGCATGTTGGCTTTAAGACAGAAATACTGGTGTTGCATGTCAAAGGAAAATAGAAAAAAGTGGCTACATCTACATGTATTCAATACGTTTTAAATTAGCTTTTTATTTTAGTCAAATGTTAAAAAAAAGAAAGAAAGAAAAAAAAGAAGAACCTTTACCTTTATACTTAAATATAAAATCTGACTCTTTATATAGAATGGCTGACTTATTCCAACTAATCAACGTGTAGGCTTCATCCCTTGATATAAACACTGATTTTTGTAAGGTGCAACACATTGGACATATATTTGAACTGCTTGCATGATTACATATGACATGATTAAGCAATGTCTGTTAGTATCCTAAAAAAAAAACATCCTGAAGTGTGTGAAAGGTTCTGTGCGTGTTGCTGCAGAGGTTGTTGTAGCTCAAGGTGGAAGACAATGAGATTGTTTCTCACATCACTAACCTCACTCAAAGGCCTGCATTGCTTTTTGACATGGTTTTGGTTTTTTGAATTCCAAACATGCAGATGTAAACAAGTGAGTTGATTTTCACAAGTGAACAGACTACTGAAGTATGCAGGAGGAATGGATTGTTGGTAATGTTTGGGTGATTAGAAGTGAAGTTGTGGTTTTTGGCAGTGTGGCATTGACACATGGGAGTTCTATGCATTCGAGAGAGAGAGAGAAAGTGTGCGTCTCTGACCTTGCGCACCTTTCTTTTTCTGTCTGCATAATTGTTTTCTTGGTGCCGCCTGACTGTCCCGGGCCTCGGGGCCCCCGGGGGAAGTCCTGCCCGCAGACAGGCAGCTCAGCCCGGTTAGGGACATGCCGGGTCCTGCCGAGCCTCTGAAGTCTGCTGGCTGGCTTTGAACTGTAGCTGCTGGAGGTGAAAATCAATCCGTCTCTAACCCCCTCCTCCTCTCTCTACCTCGTTCTATCTCTCTATCTGTGTGTCTCTCTCCCCCTGCAGCCCCCAGCACAGCGTCTCCTGCCATTGAATCTTTCATGTTCACAGGTAGAAAGGGGAAGGAGACACAGAGAAGAAACAGGGGAGGAGGTGTAACTCATCTTCAAAAGAAGTTCATATGATTTTTGAGGATTAAAGGGATGAAGGCAAAAAAAGCTCACAAAGCCAGTGCCTGTAGTCATGATCATCCTTTACTATCCTGTAGTGAATAGTTAATTTGTTTACTTACTCACTTAACGCTGCTCGGTACTAGAACTCACACAATGACCCTATTTATCCGGGGAGTGATGTCATAGAGAGGGAAGCGTTGTGTTGTTCTTGTGAAAGTTATTGTTGAGATTTATATCACAGCTGATTCTAATCCACGCAGCATTTCCATTCCCCCCAGTCGAGTAATTTATAGAGCTCAGGAGGCCTGTTCAGTTCCAGTGTTTCATAATGCTTCACACATCTAAGAGGGAATTCCACTAAACATGTCAGAGACGGTTTACTCATGGAAGCTAAGTTATTTCAGCTCATTAGAGTATCACAATGAAATTTACGGCATGACTGTTTTGTGGAGGCTTTCATCCAAAAAGCTTTACCAGAACCACCACAAATGTGCACAACTCATTCTTTACATTCTGTTTATTGTAAGCTTGTTTTTTTTTTTTTTTTTTTGAGAATGTAGGACTTTGAGATTTACAGGGAGAGAGCTGAGCGATCCAGGAGGGCGATAAATCAGAGAGACACAAACATCTCAGTGTCAACTTTATTATTTTATTTTTTATTATTACATCTGGAAAACGTACAAAATGACTTCATTCACAAACGTCTTCCACAGACTTTCAAGTGGAAAAACATAGAAATGTAATGTGTTTATTAACAGTAAAACAAAAGTTCTTGCTGGTAGGGCTAGTCACAATTTATTTGTAGTTTGGGAAAAATAAAATAATGACATTGTTTGCTGGATGGAAGGCATTAATAAATCAAACTTTATTTAATTGTCAATTGTTGAAGTAAATGTTGACATCACTTAAAGCATTAGAAAACATGGCCTTGGGAAATGAAGTGACATACAACTGTTCTGAAAACATTTAATACATAATTCACTGATGAGTTACAGGCTGCAATATTTTCTATTATCTCTATTCTGTAGCTGTGTAACACACACATACTGTTCTGTCAATGCACAACGGAGCACAGAGGAGACGAGCGGCCATCGATTGACAATTCACTCTTCATTCTTGTCTTCCAAATTGATTTTATCACAAGTGTCTCACCATGCCACATTAATCTTTTTAAAAGCACACCTTGCAGTCACAGAACAGACAATGTAAATTATAAGTATATTATCTTCAGTAGCCCCCTGATGGACCACCAGGAGGTCCTCTGCAAAATAAGAGGTATAGCTGCATTTCATCATATTTTAATTAGCATGAGATAATCTCAGCAAAGCAACACAAAAAGAAAAAAAAAATATAATCATAGGTTTCACTTTAACAGCTATTATTTCCCCATGCGCAGGGCAGACGGTTTCACAAAGCAATATTAAATCAAAAGTTGAGAGCTCTCCATGGAGGCCCCAGGGAATAAGTGGAATCAAAATGTGGGCTGTGTGGTCTAATTTGTGTCTGCACTTCTTAGGAGTCTTCTCTATGACGAACCTACATCCTTTAGTTATTTATTCCTTATACATAGAGTCTGAAGATACATGTCATGACATTGTGGAAAACTTGAGATAGGGAATTCATTTTCAAAACATACACAGTTTTGAGTTTATATGTTAATTAAGATCGTGTTGTGCTGATGGCTGCACACCATTGCTCTTTTTATTTTGAACTGTGTTGTCTCTGGCTCAGTTGGAGAGATAGTTGGGTTGGTAGGAAGCTGGTGCCCTTTGAACCTGTGAATGTAGGATGTGTGGAAATAAACTGATCTGCATTACCTTGGGTTGCTCATAGAGAAGATTGATAAAACACAAACAAGGCATGAATTCCTCTGTTGTTTTGCAAATTTCAACCCCTTCAAAATATGGAAATCTTGAACTTTGAAGATTCCTCGTACCTCCCAACCCCATCAATCCATCATGACGAGCTACTGTTTGGCATTTAATCCACAGGAAATACTCCAAAAGCTGTGTAGACACACACCTTTATTATCATTTACAGTCCATCATTGTTACTGCTGAGCATTTTGTACATTCTGTAAAATTCATTTTTACATTTAGACAGTGTGTTTTCTTAAATGGAGAGCTAGAAGCTGTGCTCTCCCACAAGAACAAAAATGTACAGAACTTTTAGGATGAGGAGAATGCTTTTATTCTACAATTCTTTATTGCAGATTGGTAAAAAAAAAAAAAAGGGCGCAATAACATATACAGATTAATTTCTGTCACAGATTAGGCTTCCCACCTTCATCCAGAGCAAAACAAACAGAGACAGAGACAGGGAGAGAGACGTTCTGCCCCTGCAGAGCTAAAGAGGGGAACAAGGGATCAGGGAGAGGAGACGATGAAAGACAGATCACCGGCAGGCAGAGAATCAAAGAGCCTACTGACTGACTCGAGCTGGGATAGGTGTGTGTGTGTGTGTGTGTGACTTCTTTTCATGTGCCCTAAGAGTTTGTTTTTCCTGCGCACAGAGTGGGAAGCTGACACTAAGTCTGTAATTAAAGCAATCAAAAGATGAAGAGAGATGAAGAAACATTACACGCACACATGTGCATGTACAGAAACACACTTTTTTTGATGTTAAATGACTGTAGGTGGGTTCCTTCTCTGCTCAGAAAAACCTTCCCATCCATATCCAAAGGATCTTTTAGCATCCGTTTTAAATGAATCACAGTCTTCAGATGACATTTGAGTTGCATCTCTGTGTTTGTCCCAGTTCAACAGCAGTACTAACTCCAGTCTGATTTGTCAATTCGAGCTAAGCATGTTTTGACACTCTGAAAACACATTTCACTCTCATAAACCATGATGGCTGCCACGGGAAGGGAAATTGAGTAAATTGATATTTAGTCAGCAGACGAGAGCCAGCTGCCGTCTGAGGTTTGTGTCTGTCTCCAAAGTTGGAAATCACTTTAATCACGGGTTTATTTTCACATCAAAGTCAGATGGTAATCGTGTTGCATATTAGACTTATCTCTTTCTGGCTCATTTAGTTCCTGACAGCGGAGACTTGATGGCTATTTCGTCCAGTGATTTTGACTTCCTTTAGCTCTAATAAACACATATTATCACAGAAAAGAAATGACGGGAAATATGTCAGTTATACACTGTGTGAGCCTAATTTGCAGAATTGTGATAAAAAGATTCATGTACAGGCTAAATGCTTTCAATTTCTCCTTTTTGGTTGTTTCTGGAAGCTCACAGTTTGATTCTCATAGGGGGGAAGCGGTTGGTCTAGTTTGAGTGACAGCCCTGCCGTCTCCCCTCTATTTACTCCCCAGCTGCCTTCAAATCTTAGAAGGGAGACAAAGTGCCAGCAGCACATTCCTCCATCATAATTCACCTCTGAAAAATAAGACAGACAGGGTACTTATAATTACTTAAAAGTGGATTGACAGTGGATTGGCCAAATTCTTGAACACACACTCGGAATTAGTATTGAAAGTCAGAGCAGAACCCTCAGTAACACTTGACTTAAGGTGTGCTTTGATGCTTTCAGGCAGAATAGTAGAAGTAGTTATCGACGATTAAGGTGCTGCATGGTGTTTGAATGAAGTTGGTTGTCTTTATTTTTTGAAGAGGATTGCAGAGTTTTTAAGATGAACTTTTATTAATTTAATATCCCTATTATTCAGAATTCAAGATGATTTCAATGATTAGTCAAACACACCTGAGTGTTGAGCCTGATGTGATTACAGCCGGCTCGTCTAATTGGACGAGAGGAGTCAGCTCCTGTCTGATCACCAAT